AATGCATACATCAGTAACCGCCCCATTCCCTGTTCTATAAAGCTTGCTTCGTTCTCATTTGGTGGTCAGTTAATGTGTTCATCCCTGCTTGAAGTGTTACGGGAGTGTGCTAGTACCAGTGCTCTCCGGAGGTGGGCCTAGAGCTGGGGCCAGGAGGAGATGGAGGTAGCTGATTGAGACGTTGTTACTCAAGACTCTCCTTCCCTTCCCTCCCTCTACTCTTCCTTCAGCAGATATTTCTTGAGTGTTTTTGTATGCCATGTACTATGCTAGGTGCAGGGACATCGAAGATTAAGAAAACCAGACATATGCGTATGGGCTTTTTTAATGGTCTGTTGGAGGAGAGACACATCAGTCAGTCACTCAGATGTGAAATTATGACTGTGCCACGTGTGTGCAGATGCATTGTGCCGTGAGAACCTAAAGTTGGAGGATTTTCTGTGGGAGTCGGAACACTTCATTTGAGGAGGTAGTACTTGAAGTAAGATCCAGAGTTTGAGTAGAGGCTGACTTGAAGATTGCAGGAAAGCACATTTTAGGGAGAGTGAACAGAAGGCAGGAGTAGACGCCCTGGTGGGAAGAGCATGGCACTTAGAAAGATTTGGAAGGAGACTGGTGATTGTGTGGATTCGAAGGATGCCTCTGGGAAAGTTTCTTTCCAGAGGTAGGTACAGCCTGCCTGTCTGTGCGTGCCAGGGCCTCTCTGCACGCTTCTGGGGCCATTCGTTGTGCCTGTCTAAATGTGGCCCCACGCTTACCGCAGTAGTAATTCCAGGGTTTATTTTACTCAACAACACTTAAAGAATCAGAGTATGTCACGTAAGCAGGCTGTATTTCCAGCTTCTTTTGAGAGGCCTCTGGCATGACTGGGCGCTGGGCCCACAGTCCAGCGTGGCAGACCCCACGTCCCCTTGAGCAGGACACCTTCCTCACCTGGGACGTGTTCCCCCGGTAGCCTCAGGCCTCGCCACTCTGGTCTTCTCTGTTGCCTTCTTCACTTATTTACGCCACCTTCTTAGGCCCTATTGGCCTTTCAGTACGAAATCCCTGCTCTAAATAGAGGCAGTGCTAGCTTGTTAAAGAAAAGTCAGTCAGTTGGAAACACAGATTTAATGCTTTGAAGTCAGTCCTGGCTTTGAATCTCAGCTCTTCCACTCATTCCACCACTAATGAAGTTGAGAAGGTTATGTAACCTTTCTATCCGTGGTCTTGTTTTTATTTTATAATAAAGATATTAGAATTTATATTACAGTATTATTGACGAGTGAAACAGGCACTGTGTAAAATGCTCAACACAAAAAGGACTCA